AGGTAGCTCCTGGAGCAGTGCTCTAAATGCCGGCAGGGAGCAGCAAGAAGGCACTGGAGCAAAGGAACCTGCTGAGAGAGGATCTTCAACCTCCGTGTTGTCCAGGAGGAAAGAAGGGCTATGGCAGCCAGCCTCATCGTACTCCTCACAGTCAATGTCAACGTCCAGTTGGTTGGAGCCAGCTGGCTCCCGGCCGTCGTTGAAGAACTGTAAGGCCTTGTCATGCGAGTACATGTCAGCCACCGGAAATTCCTCGGCAGCAGCGGGGGTGAAATACTCAACCCGGCAGATCTTTTCAGCCATGGGCAGAGCGACACAAAACGGGCACGAGGCCTGGGGTGTCAAAGCCAGGCCAGTGTGATGACCCCCGAGACAGACCCCACATTTGGCGTGCAGGTCGCCGCTGGAGATGCAGCCCATCTGGCAGGCCGGGCAGGTCCTGACGTCGCTGGACATGATCGGTGAGTAGATAATGGATAATTGCCCTTTAATGAAGCTCTTAAGCTTGGCTTGAAGAGATAACGGAGGCGAACAGTGGAGTCGCTCCACTTACATACCCACAGGGTTGCCCACCATTGGTGGGCATACATTTAAGCTCTTCATGATTGGCTGATGCTGAGATCACCCTTCCAATAGCAGCTAGCTTAAGGGCTAAAACTAGAAGAAATAGAACTGAAGTTGCGTTTGTATTAGAGGCTAAACGCTCAAAAGCCAGGCCACCTCTCACTTAGGCCACCCCTCAGTTATCACCCCGGTCCACTCAGGGATTGAGTAGTTTGTGGATCCGCATTCCTCCTAACCACGTCAAGGCCTCACCGACACCCCAGCAATCTCAGCGCTGGAGGAGATTAGGTTGTCGACAGTCCTCCGGTGTCGGCTCTTGGAGCCGCGAGGTGATAGGACCCCGGCTCTTGAAGGACCAAATAATGTCATGGGTTTTATCAATATGTTTATCAATAACCCATTCAGTGTTTCCCCTAGGAATCTTTCCAGCTGTGGCGGTAGGGCCGGCCGGGGTGTGTGTGTGTGTGTGTGGGGTGGGTGGGGGGGGTGGGGGGGGGGGGATTATGATACGTCTCTAAATAAAGTAAAATTTTCTAGTGCAGAGAGGAGATAACCCATAGAAGCACTAATTTGATTTCATTTCAGAGAAAAATAGAAAAGGTCAGATGCACCTAATAAATAAAATTACTAACAAACTCAGGAATCTGTTTGTTTGCTTCATTGTTCTGGTGCTGAAAACATCACTACTGCGGATCAAAGGAGATACACAGATGAATGCACCTCTTATTTATTATTTGGAGACTACATTTACTGCAGCTGGCAGAGGCAGAGATTTTTTTCTATTGATTCACGGAATTTACAGAATCATTTTAATGGCGGAAGACTGAAGGAGGGAGCGGTAAAATACAGGGGGTCCCCAGCAAAAACAAGAAACTTTACGAGTCTGATGAAACCCGCTGGTTTTCCATCAGGCAGTCACGGGGCAGCTCCAACAACCCAGTGGCTGTGCTGGGTCAATGTTATCGAGCTCAGTCCGGTGTCGGTACAAGATCTGCTCGGGCGCAAGATCGGCTCAGGGTCCGTCGACTGCTGATGACGTCAAAGTAGTTGATTGGCTGAACATGAACCTTACGGAATTGCGTAATCACGTTACGTTGTTATCACGTTACGTTGGTATCACGTTACGTTGGTCCAGGCAAATGTTTCTGTTGGAAAGATGGACAACTTTTACAAAGAAATCCATCATTACCTCTTTGAAAATACACTTTTAGCATAGAGCTGCATGTATATTAGGGCTGAACGATTAACTGCATGTGCAATTAAATTGCGATGTGACAAAAGGAGATTTTCTAATCTCAAAGACTGCAATTTGGCAGCGAGTGGTTAGCGCAATGCTAATATACATGGAAAAACCCTTAGGAATGCTAATGCTAATATCACCGATTACATACTTACAAATTATGAATTAGAAACATGCCAAATGATTACATTTGGAGTCTTATAGAAAGTAAAAATACCATCAATCAAATAAGTACAGACAGGTATTTTAGTAAAGCCAGAAAACTTTTAACTCCAGAGTTTTGGCTAGCAGCTATGAGCGTACCTGAACTACGCATGGACAAGACGTCAAAAACTAAACGCAAAATACTTCAATAAACGGGACACACTTCTTTCCTGCAAATACAATTTCACAGGTGTTGCTAATACATATGATCCTTCAAGGGATGTGCTCAAAGAGGAGTTCAACATTATCAGAATCAGAATAAGAATGAATTTTATTGCCAGCGCTCAGATCAGATCAGAGCGTAGGAACTTGACTCTATGGTACAACCTGACCAAGGTTACACACACACATATAGACAGGACAGGTACAGGCAGACCACGGGAGCAGCCATGACGGCGCTCCTTTGTAGATGAATGAGGGAATACATGAGGAAAGTTCAGGGGAGGGAGAAAAAAGGCATTAACAGGGTTACACCAGCAGGGTGTAGCACTCTAATGCAAAAAACACCCGACATGTAAGCACAAACGTCACAGTTCACTACATGAGACCCGGTAGGTGGTGGTGGTGGTGGGGGGGGGGGGGGGCTGGGATCCTGGTTTCCTCAGCGGGGGCTGCCTGTGTCGCTCAACCAGCTGGCTCCGCAGGTGGGAGGGAGGTCATGGGGAAGCACAGAGAGCAGTGAGTCCTTTAGCTTAATGACCTCGGTAGAGACCACAATCTGAAGGCGGGGGAGGGGGGGGGGAATAGAGATTCACAGCATTTGTCTGCATTCCTTCCAGCGTGGGGGTTTTGCATGCAACTCCAAGGCTGCTTATGGCGTCAGATTCGATAACAGAACTTTGTTTTGGGTCAGGCAGAGATAATTTTTCCTCTCTGCCTTAAAGTCTGTATTGATCATTCAAGTCCTCCAGTGAAGCCAATTCAGTGATTAAACATCTCCACACCGTCCGGTGACTCTTTCCGAGATGTTATCAATCCTGCGCGCTAACACCGGTAACGCAGCTAAGACATTGTCCAGCTTGCGATTCACCTAGAGCAACGTCCCAGTCTGTGAGGTATCCACACGGGCGGTGCCGTCCATGGATGCGGGTCGCCCTCCAATCGCTCCCGTCATCCCAATTTTGCGGAAAGCCAGATATCCTCCCACTCCAATCAGAAGAAATCCAATGATCATCAGGCCAAATATCCACAAATCTTCGACGTCCTCAATGGACAGCTGAGAGAGACAGATGACATTCCACTTCTTCCAGGAATCGAACATATATCCCGCTGCATGTGTCCCCTGAGGACAAGCGTGAGCCCCCTCCTCCGTCCTCATTGTAGAAAAAATCTTATCAATCACGTTGAATGACCAATTAATTAAATCCATGCTGAAAAATAGTGATTTCCAGAGGAAATGCAGAGAAGCGCTCTGTAGGCAGACGGGACAAAAAGAGCCTTGGGAAAATACAGATAAGGGAGGAAAGGCAGAAGCGACTGCTCCCTGTGAGTGCCGGAAGAATAATACAATATAGTGTTTTATTTTACAAATACCATTATAAACACAAACTTACGTCTTAAGAAACATTATTTTAATAACAAAACTGCTCAATTCTTTCCAACAGTAAAGATGTGTAGTGTATTTTGTCCGAGTGGGTTTAGTGTACTTTGACGTCATCGGCAGTCGAAGGACCCCGAGCCGATCTTTCACCGGAGCAGACCCTGTACCGACACCGGCTCGGCCGTGAACGAGCCGAGGCGACATCGTGCTCTGCTTAAGGAGAGGTGTTATTTTCCTGCCTCAGAAGAGGCGTCCAACATGTTTTTACGTTTTCTCCGAGACATGTCACGTCGCTAAGTTGTGCGCGCTAACACGTCAATAGTGCAGCGTAGCCTGCTGGAGGTTTTAAGGGTTCTGATGAAAACACCTGACCTCTCAGGCTGCTCACACATCGATCTTAAGTTGTCGCTGTTGCGCTCACGCCGTAATGCAGTATTAGATGCGGTTAAAGTCAGACATGAAAAAATAAATACATTTTACATGAATAAGTGATGCTTAGCCTGGTGGGGGGAGGAGAACCTGGCCTAATAAGCACTGGAGGAAACCCTGTCAGGATGGTCAACACTCGTTTATCTTAATGCTGCTGAAACATGTAAACCACAAAGCATTAGATCCACTGCTACCTTTCTAATTTTAATCTCAGTAACTTGTGCTGTAACTGCACCTTGCCCTGCCTCCTCCTCCTTGCTGCCTGCCGGCTGTGATCACAAGCGACAACATAGTAGTTCCCGCTGCTTCTTTGGGAAACGGCGCAAAAACAAACAAAAAAAACTTGGGATCTTGTAGGTGTGGCGGTGGGATTTCAGCCGTGGCTGTGAAGAGAGAAGGAGACAATGAGCAGACAAGTCAAACAGTTATAACTGTGACGAGATGCCGAAGCAAATGCCCCGAACATCTGTTCAAAGACACCATGATGAGACACCATTGACACCATGTCAGCCAAAGCATTTGACCCATTCACTTCAGACAACGATACCTACATAGTAACAGTGGGTCACTAAAGTACATACTTTGAACTTGACAGGCTAAGTAGCATGACATCCAGACCTATCACTCAAGGGTTGAAGGCATGTTTTGGCCAAATGTGATATTCACAAAGCTTTTAAATCGAGACAGTTGGACTCACCTGTACACACACTCTGGAACCCTGGTCCTCAAGAGGAGCAGACTCTGCTGTGTTGGAGTTACCTTGAGTAAGAGACGAAAGGAGAACTTTTCTAGGTCAATAACTCCAACTTGCTTTACACTAGGGGCCTGCAAGGGACTTTTTAAGATTTCTTTTGGGACTCAAATCCGGAATGCCAACCACCCCCCCACCCCCGCGCCACCGCCAACTACACACACACTACTTTCTCCATTTCTCTGTAACAAAGAGATTACAGGAACTCTGAATTTGCTGCTGTCTTTGACAAACACGTTGCCTTACATGGATGTGTATGTGTGCATGGCCAGGTCTCCACTACGGTAAGGAGAGTGTCCGAAGCAGCGGGGGCAGTGACCTTCACAGCTTCATTTCTTCTGGTTTTGTGACTCTTGGTCGAAGCCATCCAAAAGGTAAAGTAGCATTCTTCCTCATGCTTCATCTCATCGTGACTTGTTCACATAATCTTAAACCTCTCATTTTTCAGCACTATCCTAAAAACCTCCAGATTTCAAATTCACATCTCACTTATTAATAGCTGACTCAGATGAACAAATGATTTGGTTTCAAATTCAGGTTTCATTACTGTGGGATGCATGTTTAAAACCTTGTTGCTTTTGGTGAGTTTTCCGGAGTATGAGTCGCACCAACCATAAAATGTATAATGAAGAAGAAAAAACAAATGTAAGTCGCACTGGACTATAAGTCATAAGTCGCAGTTTGGGGGGAAATTTGATTATTTTTCTTACAAAATCTGAGACCAAACAATTCACATTGCAAGACAAGTACCGGTTACAATAACAGAATAAACAACCAGGGCGCAGCAGCGCGCCACGGTCTTCAGCAGAGGACGGCGGTGTTTCAAACCCTCCCAGCGGGCGGGGAGAGCTCATTCCTGGGCCGGAGCCGGCCTGCAGCACCCCGCCACAGGCTGCAGCAGGTGATGGCGGTGTTTGAAACCCTCCCAGGGGGACAGGGGAGCTCATTCCTGGGCCGGAGCCGGCCTGCAGCACCCCGCCACAGGCTGCAGCAGGTGATGGCGGTGTTTGAAACCCTCCCAGGGGGACAGGGGAGCTCATTCCTGGGTTGGAGCCGGCCTGCAGCAGCGCGGTATACATAATTTGGTATATAAGTCACTTTGGTATAGTCGCAGGACCAGCCAGACTATGAAAAAAAGTGTGACTTATAGTCCGGAAAATACGATAGGTAAAAATGCTAGGGGTGTCAAAGTGTTGCATTAATTGTAAGTATTTAAATCTTGATGCTGTAATTTTCAATCCGTCGTTGTAGTTGGGAGGGTAGGTAAGGCAAGGACAGGTAAGTTACAGAGACGAGACTTGAAAATGGAGGCACCATAGATACATTTAGTGAAATGCCTTCCTTTGCTGGTGCACTGGGACAGTCTTATGGGAGCGCTGTGGCACATCACACCCCATGCACTATAGGTAATATGAGAATGCACGTATTTAGAGTGACATATAACTCTTAGACGTGATATGAGTGAGGAAGTTTTACCTCGCAAGTGGAAATGTACATCATGAGATGGCATTTGTAAACTGTGAGAGAGCAAACAGTGTCTGCAAGCACACAAGGATGTGTATAAGTGATGATGATTCAAACCGTACAAGCGCGTCGGCCAATGAGCACATGGCAGTGGCAAGCATGCATGCGGCAGCGTCACTGCACGATTGGTTGCTGAGTCCTCACTCTCTCCACTGTTGCACTTTTGGCACTCTGAAGGCGTGGCCTGTGGCAGAAACCCTAACCCTAACCCCTCCCTCATTGGCCCATTGGCTTCCTCTTTGACCATAGGGAACCTGTCACTTCCACACCACGGGTCCCTGGAAGAACAAAAAAATGAATGCAAGTCAACGGGGCTAAAAACGCTATTTTCTAATTCCGCTTGTTTCGTGCCATGGATATACGATGTCCATGAATTTTAACCAGTGTTGGGAATAACGCCGTTTAAAATAACCGCGTTACTAACGGCATTATTTTATAGGTAACGGAATAATCTAATTAATTACTTTTCCCGCCGTTGCAACGCCGTTACCGTTACTGGGGACGGAAGGTTGTGCGTTACTATGTGCTTGTCGAACGTTGAGCAGCAGCGTGAGGCTTTCTGACCGCCACACTTCAGCTGCAGCCAGGGAGAGAGAGGTGTCGGTAACACACTTACAAACACCATGGTGATTGGCCGGGTGGGCGGAGACCCTCACGGTCTCAGTCGCTGCCTGCTGTAGACACAACAGAGCAGTGATGGGAATAACGCCGTTTAAAATAACCACTTTAATATGTTTTTCAGTAACGAGCAAACTAATTACCATCTTCTTTTAACAAAACGTTGTTTCTGTTACTGATAAGGAAATGCGTGCGTTAAGCAGCGCGGTGTGTTGAAGCTGTCATCAGCTGATCAGGAGCCAAAGAGGTAGATGTTTTCATCCAAGTGCATCATGGCCGTGAAGAACGAGGAAGACGTGATGAATATCTACGGCTGCAGGTGTGGATCTTCTTAGCGTGACAGCGGGACGTCCAGAAGGTCCGCTCACCTGTTCACCGCTCAGACGTCCTGATTTTCTACCTTCCTAGATCATCCAGCTGTAACCTGTTTCTGATCATGTCTTTAGTCCCGCTGTAACACTGATGCATCAGTCTCAGACGTCATGGAGCTCAGGTGTTATCAGAACTACCTGTGTGTGTTCACCACCCAGCTTCAGCTCTTCTGTGGTTGGGTCTGACCCACGTTAGTAAATGTAAGTCCTCCATCAGGCTTGTGCCTCATCTAGTGTCATTTTAAAGGCTTTTATTTATTTATTTAACCGTTACTAGATTACCAGCAACAGAAATGCTACTAAAAACACACAATTATGTGAAGCTGGAAAAATTAAAATACTGTACAAAATTACATTCATTTCTGTAATCTAACTAGACTGAGAGACCATTTAAAGGCTCGGGAACCTTTACAGGTGTTCCTATTTGCAATTTTAAATGTTAGCTGATTGGGGTCTTGTTAAATATCACACAGTGACCTTTTAATAGTCTAGATAAGTGTAATATTCCTGTTAGTAGTTCCTCCTGTTATGTGTTTATTTAAATTATTCAGGTTTATATAAAACATTTGGACATACATTTTATTATGTTCCAGTCATTAGTCATTTATATTTGACTATTGTAGTAATTCTTGCATTCTTTAATGAAAAAAGTAACTAAGTAGTTTTTTTCTTGGTAATTAGTTACTTTTATAATCTTGTAACTCAGTTTGAAACTGAGTTACTTTTTTGACAAAGTAATCAGTAACTATAACTAATTACTTTTTAAAGTAACTTTCCCATCACTGATTTTAACCCTCTGGAGGCAGGTGTTGCAGATTTGCTATGTTAAAACCTACCTACCTGATTACTGCACATACGAATTTCATGAGCATTTTTTAACGCAGAAGTACCCCTGAAGGACTTAGTTGTTCGTCCTTTTATCAAAACTTATTTTGAGCCTGAGAGGGTTAAAGACACATTTTGATATCAAGAACACGCTTTTTTTCGAACAGGGAGAAACTCAGTTTTAGGTTTTGCGTGAAAATAAGTCCAGGACTACTAATGCGCTTCACAAAAGTGACGTCATCAAACCAGACACGGAGAAAAACAGGGAAAATGGCTGTAAGTTCAGCAAACTTCCCACTGGAGGAAGGAACCACCATAAATCTGGTCATGTGGTAAGTAGCAGCTACGCTAGGGGAGAGGAGCTTATGTGCTGACGTCACATATGTGGCGTGCCAATTTGTAGGGTTTGTTTATAGTCATGCTAATTACGAACATTTGCAAGCTGATAAATCTCAAAGTACGTGACTGGCGTGGTCAAAACACCTATCATTAGTTTTCATTTAAATAGCAGTACATCATATGTGTGATCCAGGGCGTAACCCCCAAATTCCACTACCTCCGCTCCACTTCACTCCGGCACGAACTCCACAGCAAAATTGGTCCCGTTGTAGTCAATCAGAGCCATTCCACTACTGCGGCAGTGCGGCGCAGTGCGCTGCCCTCTGTTCCGGCGTCCAGCAAAAATAGGATCGATTCGATTTTTGCCGGATGCTGGAGCACCAACAGGAAAGGGAGCAAGCACAACTTCCGTGATTTCACAATAAATCGATAAACAAAAGGCGTTTTTTGATTCATATGCACAGGTTTAACAACTTTTAACAACTATCAATGGCGGCTGAAGTTTAAATGCACAAAAGTAAGCCATAAATACAGTTTCCACTATCAAAGTAGTCACCCTGTTGATCCAAACACTTCTGATCTCTCAACACAAATGATGGGCAGATTAAACAGTTCATTTCGATGCTTCTCCCACACAACGGGTGTTTGGATCTAACTTCCGCGTTTATTGCTCGGACTGTATCGCATGCCTGTTTGAGCACCTCAGGTCTCCGCACCGGAGCGGAGCCGTTGTAGAGCGGGTACCAGTAAAAACTGAGTTCGGAAGCGAGCGGCTGTGGAAGGTGGGGGCGGAGCGGAGGTAGTGGAATTTGGGGGTAAGGCAAAGTGGATTAGAAAATAGCAATTTTAGCCCCATTGACTTGCATTAATTTTTTCCCTCTTCTGGGGACCCATGATGCAGAAGTGACTTAGGCTCCCTATTGGCTTCTATATGCCCATCTACTTCCAGGACATTTTCCTTATTCAAAAACACATGAAATGGACCTCATGCAGTCTAGACATTATTCCTACTACCTTGTTTGTTAAGTCGTTTGACCGAATGGGCCCATTGTTGAACCTATCCTTAAAAATCCCAGTTTGGACTAATCTCAGTGTAGCGTTGATTGGCTACCTATGTATTAAATGATTAAAGTCGCCCAGCAGAACGAGGGAGTCACCAGAAGGAGCGCTTTCCAGCACCCCCTCCAAGGTCTACACAAAGGGCGGGTAGTCTGAACTGTAGTTTGGTGAGTCGTGGAGGATGGCTGCTTATACTGAGCCAGGATTCTCTGGAGGTTTCTTCCTGTTAAAAGGGAGTTTTCCTCTCCACTGTCGCTTTATGCTTGCTTGGTATGAGGATTGCTGTATAGTCACTGACACTAGTCAGTGACTTGATGCAATTTGCTGGGTTCCTTATATAGGAAACATTATTTCTGATTGGCTTAATGAACTGTGAATTGGAATGTTTATTATGTGAAGTGCCTTGAGACGACTCTTGTCGTGATTTGGCGCTTTATAAATAAACTTGAATTGAATTGAATTAAGCACAGACTACAGTCAGAACCCGTCCCCCCACACGTAGGCGGAGGGAGGCTACCCTCTCATTCACTGGGGTAAACCCCAACGTACAGGCACCAAGATGGGGGGGTAACTAGTATGCCCACCCCTGCTCGGTGCCTCTCAGTGGGAGCAACTCCAGAGTGGTAGAAGGTCCACCC